CTTTAGAAATCTTGTTAAATAACTTCGCTGTTGTCATATATTTTCTTTTTGTCTTTTTTGTAACAAAATAAAAACTCTGAAATTACATAGAAAAAAAGACAAAATATATTTGCAAAGGGATAATATAGTTCACTGAAAACCTATTTCACAATTCCACTGTAAACATTAATAAACATTTTAAAATAGTTGCATAATTCTGTGCTCTAAATTCTTGTAAAAAAGTGGAAGACTAAATTTTCTTTTAAATGTAGTTTTCAGTCCACTACATTCCCTTTCACAATTTATTTTGTCTTGAGTACAGCTTTAAAACTGGGCACTCTGCTGAATACATTGGACTTTGGCAGTTTATCTGTATATTGCAAGTGCTTTTCAAAAAACAAAACACTATGACAACCCAGCAGCTGTCAAAAAAAAAGTGCAGCCACCGTTCTGATTTATGAACGTTCTTCTTTTTTGTAAACAGCACGGTCATTGGTTTTATGCACTTGCATTGTTTGGGACCAGGTCAGAGAAAGGGGGATATTATAGAAGGGCTCCCGAATTTGTTTTTTTTTTATTCAGACATTTGTTACGTTTTATAAAAATGTCGTTCTTCTGTTTAGACTAAACGAGATGCCATTGTGGCACACTGACTGCTAGTCTCCTATTCCTAATTAAATATTTGATTTAATAAGAATAAAAAATAAAATAAAAAAGGAAATGGAAGAAAGAAAAAAAAAATGCAATCCAGCAGAGGGAATTCGGAAAGGAAACTTCTTGGCAATGTCAGACCAGATGAGTGCTTTGTGTTGGATTAGAGGGGAGAGGGGATAAGTGTCCATGGCAGCGACTGCTGAGGGTGAGGTCGTATATCACCTGCACTCTAAAGCAAGCGTGTTTTGTGGGGGAGAAGAGGACGAAGGGCTCATTCCGGTTTCTGAAGATGCTGAAGACATTGATGCTCCTGTGTTGGATACTGTGAAGAGAAGAGCACAGCTGCTTAGGTCTCCTCTAAATCATACGGAGGCATATAACTTTGTGTACAAGTATCAGAAACTGGCTTTGGAAAAAACAAAAAATCATCATACAACTCGGTTTCTGCATGTCTAGATTATTGCACCAGGTATGTCTTACCTTCATCAGTACACATATATTTACTACCAACATTATACAGTAAACTCCCCATTATCCAGCATTCAAGCCACCGGCAAAAAAAAATAAAATAAAGAAAAAGAAAAAAGAAAATCAAGGCGTATGTCCTCGAATATTTTTTATTTTTTTTTGCTGGTGGCTTGATGTGCAGTAAAAAACAAATGCTGGTTGCTTGGTGCACGCTAACAAATTTAGTAAGCAACTAAAGAAAAAATTGATAAAAAACAGTAAAACATTATAACATTAAAAAGTGATGAAGTAAAAAAAAACAATTACAATTAAAACCAACTCCGGCCCCGCCGCCATCTGCATGTGAATAAGCAATGCTCTCTAACACGCACAATGTGCAGCATTATATGGTAAGTTCACTTTCCCAAGTCATTTGGGAAAATGGAATCTCCGACTCAAATGTGGCCCTTTCTCCCCACATTCCCTCCCTCAGCGCTATACTTACCTTTCGGCGCACGGTCCTTCCCCTCTCCCAGTAAGGGTGTACTATCTGTACGCCATACTGCCATCCAGCACAGCCGTGCCCTATGGATTTTGAATTTTGCACGCAAATTGCGAGCACTTATTGGTCAGCACGGTCAGGTGACCACGCTGACCAATGTGAAGCGCTTCTTCGCAAGGCTAAATAGGGTTTTGGTTAAAATTATTTTTTGTATCAGGACAAGTAGATTATCAATGAGGAACAAGTATACCGGACCCCCGCTTTAGTCCTTGGACAAGCAGTTTTTTTCCAGACCCCTGAAGCAACATCCAAAGATCTGCACACACTCAATTCTTTCATATTTAATGCATTTACTTCATTTTAACAAGAAAAATCACACTGAAAATGAACAGGGACCACCGTGGTCTGTGCTATCAAAATGCAATGTACCACCTGAAATCATGGAAAATATTGCCGGGTTACTGTGTCACAATCTTTTTAAAAGAAAGAATAAATAAAATGACAAATTCACCTTCACGGTCCTTCTTTTTTAACCGTTTCCGCCGTCGATCTATCGTTGCTACTTCAGACTTTAAGGACATGTAGTATTTTCTGATTTCCTGTAATTTGTCTTGGAGGAAGACTATCCTGTCTGTGCCAGACATACTCTCCAATTCATCTGTGGGGGGGAAAAAAAAAAAAAGAAGTGTTATGCTACCTTTTCATAATATCAGGTTAGCCGTCTTGTGCCGCCCCCAACCCATCTCTGATGGTGACTTTAGCAGCCTCTGAAGAGGAAGAGCCATGTATACTGGGGATGCACTGATACATGGGCCGAAAATGGCACTTTTGGCATTATGCCAAAAGTGCCATTTTCTGGCCGATACAGCGTTGCATCCATTCTTTCTCTCCTCCCCACTGGGCGATGCTCTGTGTCCCAGCTGGGAGGAGAGAAACTGTCACAGGCGGCTGAGCGCTGCGTGAGGAGAGCGCTGTGGAGCGGCCGGCGTCTCTCCTCCCACATCGCTCAGCCTCCTGTCACAGATCAGAGGAGAGCGGTGTGGGCGGAGACAGCCATTGCTGTCACAGGAGGCTGAGCTCTCCTCCAGCACCGCTCGCTCAGGCTCCTGGGCCAGCTGTCAGGAAGGAGAGCAGGTACAAGCAGTCAGTGATCGCTGAGTGTTTGTAAATAATTGACAGAGTATGGTTACTATATCCTCAATTATGAATGAATGGAAAGTGATCTACATCACCTCCTGTACATTCATGATTGTTGTTGTAGTAAACATACTCTGTCCTCTTGTTACGAATGAACAGGAACACTCAGTATAGAGGATGCCTGTTCATTTATAACAGGGCCTGCCGAAAAAGAGATTGTGGACTCAGTGTCTCTGTGGAATCTCTTTTAAAAAGGGAAATATCAGGAGTCTGATTAGACCCCCAAAATTCCCCCGAAGCCCCTAAAAGTAAAAAATAATATTTAATAAAAAATGAAAAAATATAAAAAATTAAAAAGTTTATTAAAATTTAAAAAATTTGAAAACATTAAAATAAAAAAACATTTTCGGTTTCGGCCTGATATTTTTAATTCAGTTTCGATTTTGACATTTTCATTTCAGTTCACCTCTAATGTATACCCAAATAATACACCATCATCACCACCAGGCAAGTGATCCAGTAACTTGAACCTGTGGAAAGTCTATGGACATTAAAGTATGTACATATTCTTAACAAGCTGTAAGTGCCCAATGGAGGGTCTGCCTGAATTATACATTCCGATCTCCATCCGATCCATTGTGTTTAACAAATGCTAACGAAAGGGCACCCAAAAACTAATGGGTCTAGTTCACACCGGATCCGTTGCGTTACTCTGAAAAAAGTAGTGCGTGTTCTACTGTTTTTTTTTAGTGCAACGTAATGGAACAGAGCACTGTGACTAGCCCTATTTACACCCATTCATTTTCTGGTGACTTTCCGTTAGCATTGGTTTAAAAAAGGTTTGCAAAACAACAGATCCAGTGTGACTGGGCCCTAAATTAGCTTTAAAACAAGCCCTTTTTGAAGCTGCATTCAGTTGAGTTGTGTAAAAGTTCACTGCAGAAGCTTTGAAGTCATTCTCTCAGCAGCTTAGCTCTCCCAGCAGAGACTTACAGGGTTATTCACAAAAGGGTGAAGAGTTTGGAGAAGGCAGGAGAAGTGAACAATCTAGGACAACATAGCTGAACTGGGAAGTGAGCTGAATTGGAGAATTTCTCCAATTCAGCTATGTTGTCCTAGATTGTTCACTTCTCCTGCCTTCTCCAAACTCTTCACCCTTTTGTGAATAACCCTGTTGGCATCCTTCCAGCCATCTCATTTCTAATGTAAGCACAGAGTAGGTGCTCCACGAGAGGGAAGCAGGGCGAGCCAAGATGCTGAGAGTACAACTTCAGAGTTTCTGCTGTAAACTTTGAGAAAGGGCTGCTTAACACTTGTTTAATGCTCTTTTGCTGCTGGTAATAATGTAAATATCCATAACCCCTTAAGTACCCATGAAGGATTTATTCCGTCATGCTTGCCCGTGCCATAAGGACCCATGACGGAATAAATCCGTCATGGGTCCTTAAGGGTTTAAGCTTCCGTCATGCGCTAAATGAGAACTTATATATGCATATGTCACATCAAATTAAAGACATTTTTGTCCTTTAAAAAAGGATATATAATATATGTTGGTGCAATAAATGAGAAAGATGGAAATTGCGGTTGAACACACACACAGCAAAAATTGCTTTGGCCCTTAACTGAAATACAAGCATCTGAAGCTTGGTCCTTAAGACCATCCAACTTGGCATGGAATATACCTACAATGAATTATTAAAGACAAAAGTGAGCAACATATAAAAATATAGAAATCCTCGGTTATGCAATTTAAATAACTCACAAAGTGAAGCCAAGAATCCACAGAAAACCCTCAATATACTATGAAAATGAAGATTAAAAAGCAGTTCATAAACGTTGATCGTTAATTGCCTCCTTACCAGATTAATAGTGGAATGCTCAACTATGAATACATTCCCAGTCAAATACTTTGATGTTATTCTAGACAAGTAGCATTAAGCTGAGATCAGATACACAAATGTATCCATGGCATGATCCTTAAACTTATTACTGAGGATTGTCAATGAAACCGGATTTACACTGCAATATTTCTGTGCAATGTATATAAAAAAAAAAAAAAAATCAAATAAAAAAGGAAAATATTGCACAATGCTTTCTGGTCTTCAAAAGTGCACAATACACACGCAGCAGCAAGCAATTTAAGGAAGCTGATCTAGACTACTCTATGGCTAAAATCATATTACATGATTGACTCCTTGAACAGGATCCTTTTCAAGCAGGAGCAGATCATGGCCATAATCTTCTGCATGTGGAATTCTTCATATAAGATATTCTTTTATCTGATGTATGTGCATTGGAATAGATTTTACATTTGGCAAGATGATTATTACAGCAAAAGTGGGCAGAAGAGGGAATGGGAGTTTTTCTGGAAAACTAGAGCTGAACAAAAGGGCCAGAAGAAAGATGTTCTGGTTAAGGTGAAAGGCCGGAACTGCCTTAGGCAAGAGGAAAGTCTAGGGCCTGAATGTCACCGTATCCATATGGAAAACAAGGGCTTCGGGTTGCAGGAAAAAGCAGCCAGTTCAGACACTAGCCTTGCAGGGGCCACTCGTGGGTGGGGGTGGAGAGGAATGTCTAATGGGTTTAAACAGCAGTTTCTGAATTGGGGAGAATCAGAGAAAGATCCCACAAAGTCGAAGGGGAACAGTCATGGGGAACAGTCATGGGGAACAGTCATGGGGAACAGTCATGGGGGACAGTCATGGGGGACAGTCATGGGGAACAGTCATGGGGGAATCTATGTACAAAGGTCTTAATCAAAGACTGAAGCAGTCTCTGAAATATAGTATCTGAAAATAATGGAAGGGCACAAAACTGGCCAAACAATGGCCAAGACAGAGCTGCAGGAAGGAGAGGATTTGTCCCAGGGAGAAATTCCTAGACTCTCACCAAGTGACGTATGCTTTCCACATTTGATGATGGACCTTCTTAGCGTTTTGCATTTAAGGAATCAGATTCAGAAATGCCTTTCTTTCAAAACCTGGGCTTTAACAGCCATGCTGCAGGCAAGATGGGTAAATCGGCACTTGAAAAGAAGACCCCAACATCTGGTAGACTTCACGGCGAGCCCAAGAGGAGTCTTATCAGGTTGGCATACCACATTCACCTGGGTCAGTCCGGTCAAATGAAGATCACTAGAAAGCCTTCAGTCACAATACCACAAGCAGACATTTCAAGAGAGTAAAAGGCAACAACCAGGGTATACCAATACCTGGGAGCCAGCAGAGAATTTACTGCTTCTGCTAAAGGATCTCTGTACCTGAAGACAAACCTGTCCTGTTTTTTCTCAACCCTGGAGGTCCACCTTGCGACACCTGTGGGTAGTGGTCCCTTCACCCCCGGGTCCAGGTGCTGGCGGCTGAGGAAGTCTGCCTATCATTTGCCTATGCCTAGAGTGTACATGATGAATAAGGCTGCAACATGAAGTTCTGCCCATGACCAAATTAAATTCTTCTGCCTCAGTGCGACTTCTGGTTCCTCCAGGATTGTTGATGTTCCACCACTGTGGCATTGCACAACTTAATCCGGATCCAGTGACCTCCCAGTAGGATAGCCCAATGCTGGAGAGAAAGGCAAATCACTTGAACCTCTAGGATATTGATTGGAAGGCGAAACCTCTCCGACAACCAAGTCACCTGCACTGACAGGGTGCCCAGGATGTCTATCCAGTCTGACAGACATCAGTCATGAAGATAGGCATCTGTCATGAGGATCCACCCAGAAAAAATGGGACGGAAGGACTTTCCGGATTCCAGGGACAACCTGGTCCTTGGTGACAAACTAATCTGTCTGTCCAGATACCTGACTGACTTTTCTCAACAATAGAATGTTGCATTGTAGAGGTCTTCTGTGAAAAGAAGTTGGCTGTGATGGAGTCTACCAACAGGCACAAGATTTTTATGCAAACGCGGAGAGTTGTAGTCCTCCTCTAGACGTAATACTCTGGCAAAAACCGAAAAGGCAAAAGGAACTGGCCACACCAGACAGAGCTAAACTCTGATTATGGGATAGACTCTAGCAGCAGAGGCAGCAGGATTCCAGGCTGCAGACTTCGGCATCAAACATCAGTTGGCACAGTGCAAGCAGCCCCATAGCCGTTAGTAGAGAGTGAGCTGGGGTCACCTGGTACAGCAGGACTATATCAACAGAGACATAGCCCATCAGAATTATAATTTCCACCCAACTGCGATGAACATTACAAAGTCAAAGTGACAGTGCTACACACACTCGCACACTCAGTGGACTTCCATGTTAACCTTTGTCAGAGGGAACAAAGAAAAAAAGTACCATGAGGAAAACACCACTGGAGTGTCCAAAACAGAGAAACCAGCAGCCATTGAACTCTCCAGTGCCGAAACAGTATAAATCATTTGGACCAAGCTGTTTTTTGCATTACATGAATGACTTACTGAGTTGAAATGTCCATTTGTATGTCCTTGGGGACGAGTGCTGGTGTTTCTCTCGATGTTTGTCTTTTTCAATGTCTTTTATATGAGGCGATGAGATTCTAGCTGGCGATCTTGTGATCTTCTGAGGCTTGGGGATGATTGTGTGTTTAACTGCAGTACATTTACTTGAGCTATCCAGAGCAGGAAGGTCCTCACTGTCGCTGCTTTGTCCTGAAAAATCAGACCCTCTTTATTATCTACTGATAAACAGTTAGAGAACGACTGTCAGCATCTAAACTGCAAAACCTAACCAATACAACCTCAGGTCAACAATTCTAACTTTTAAAAGAACACATTGTTGAAGATCCTATGCATCGAACAGTTATAAATAGGGATGCACCGATACCCATACTAGTATCGGAGCAGATGCCAAGTATTTGGTACTCTTACTCGCCCAAATGCTCCTATGCCTAGCCCGATACCGGAAAGCCGGCTACATGCTCTCCCGTCACCTACCATGGAGCCGGCTTCCCGGCCAATCAGGAAGCCGGGCAGCGTGTAATGGCACGGCCCTCGGTTTTCAGATTGGCCGGGAAGCCAGCTTCATGCCTCATGACGAGGGAGCCGGCTTCTCGGCCATTCAGGAAGCCGGGCACCGCGTCATTACACGGCACCCGACTTCCTGATTGGCCAGAAAGCCAGCTCCATGCTTTCCTGTCACCTAGTGACAAGAAGCATGGGGGCGGCTACCCTGCTAATCGGGAAGTCGGGTGGCGAGTCTTTACACGCTGGCCAGCTAATCAGGAAGCCAGGTGGCGAGTCATTACACGCCACCCGGCTTCCTGAACGGGACTTCCGGTACTCTGTATCGTTGAGTACCGAAAAAAACAAATATTGGTACTCGATACCGACATACCGGTATCGGTGCATCCCTAGATATAAAGATACATGAGGGGAATTTATCAAGACTGGAGCAGAAAAAAAAATCTGGAGCAGTTACCCAGGGCAACCAAGCAGCTTCTCTCTTCAGTTTGTTCAGTTAAGATTTGAAAATTAAGATAGAAGCTGATTGGTTGTCATGAATTAATACATTGGGGGGAATCTAAGTAGTGCAGTTAGCATGAAGTAGTGGAATGGACAGGCAGAGACAATGCCATAAGCAGCGTATAACCTTCTACCCAATTATAAGGGAAAAGTAGATTACACATGATAAAAATTGTAACTGGTAGTATTTGATGATTTCAGCAGGTCCTTTTTTTTAAGCTATATTATGATTTTCCATGACACTGGAGACTCTTGGTGCTAACTAAAGATGCAAACATTTACACATTAGATAACACAATACTTCAAAAAACACAAAGGGGAAGGGAAGCTGCTCACCTATACCATTCTTTTCAATTTTCAAAGAAGCACTCATTCGCTTTGGTGTTCGCTTTTGTTTCTTTGCTAGTGTTCCAAGGTTGCTCTCACTTATCCTTTTATGGCCTGGTGTAAAAAAAAAAATGTAAAAACGTTTTTAAAAAATGGTCTTTGGTCCTTTTGGTCCTGTGCTAACAATCATAAGCCGTATCCTTGGAGCAGGAACTTCCTTAGTAACCGTTTTATTGCAGAGCACGTCCAGAACTTATACAGTGTTCAGGTTTAACTGCAAGTTAAAGCGGAACTAAAAGCTGAAATAAATTTTGTCACCTAGCAGTTTTATTGGGTAGAAGAGAGTTTGTATGTCTCTTCTGCACAAAAAAAACTGCTAGTAATTGCAGCAGACACACACCAAGCATCAGTGACCACCGGTTGGCTGAACCTGGGCCTGCCAATGTTAGACAGCAGCAATCTAGGAAGCCTGCTTTGCATTCATGTACATTATGGCAAGAGCTTCTTCACTGCAGCCAGGTATAGTTTAGCTTCAAGAAGCTAAAGCTGCATCCTACTGAAAGCTAGCACAGGTTATAATGACTATTGCACGTCTATAAAAGAACCTCAGAAAAATGGCATGAAAATAATAAAGTAGGTGACACATACCTTTGTCACGCAGCTCTGCTTCTTGTTGTGCTGTCATACTGCAGTTGCTGGAAGTGGTGCTGGCCTCAAACCCATTTGCAGACTCACTCTCGCAAAGACCTTCTTGCGATTCCTCAGCCACACTGTCCACTTCTATTGTAATATCACTCTCGCTCTTTATACTGTGAGACTCATCGTGGCTGAGTGCAAGGGGAGATGCCACAGAGTAGATGTGAGTCTGGACAGCAGGTGGCAGTGCAGGGGCAAGTAGTGTCTGTGTGTCAGGCTCTGCTTTCTCTATAGGAATATCCTCTACCTTGTCTTTTTCATCAAAATCGTCCAAATCTACTTCATGGCAAACCAAAGTCTCTGGGCCGATCAAAGGCATGGCATCGTCCTGTTCCTCCTTGTGGGAGATCCTAGCAATGTCATTCAGTGGCACGTCATAGCCCTCAGTCCTCGTGCTCTGCACATGCTCTAGCTCAGCCGTTAGGGAGGGCATTTCATCGTTTACATTCTGCAGCTCCTCTTCCTTAATGGTGTTAAAGTTTACCTGAGTCTCACAGATTTCTGCAGGGTGTTCCTCGGGTGTGATGATGGGCAGCTCCAGATCACACTCTGTACGGGGCTTTTTCTCTGGAGAGGTCTGCTCCACTGGTTTCCTCTTGAACCCTTTCTTCTCCTTAGTCAGCGGGTCGATTGGCAAATCCACCTCCTTTGGAGTAAGGGGCAGTTCCTTACTTTGCAGTGCAGCAAATGTAGCAAAGTCTAAGGTTTCAGGTTCTGCTTTAGGTTCTGCCACATTATCTTCCTGAGTGGCCGGCAGAGTTTTCGTGTCCTCTGGAGAAGGCTCCTTTGTTTTGCTTCTCCTCCCCTTGGGCTTTGGCAGGTTGTCGGCTTCTTTCATTATTTCTTCGATTTGTTCCGTTTGCTTCCCGAAAATCTGAACAATTTGCTCGCTTTCTTCCACTTCTTGCTTTAGTGTTTCTGCTGGCTTTATTGGACTGTTTTCCTGCTCCATTACAGCACATATAATCTGGGCGGCCTCTGGCTCAGGGATCTTCTCGGGTGAATGGTATGGTTTTTGCTCAGGTTCTTTTTCAATGTTTGGCAAAAGCTCTTCTGTTTCAGGCACCTTTTCTGGGTTTTCTTCTGATTCGCAATCAGATGTGGAAGAGTCTGCAATCAAAACAAAATGACTTAAAAGAGGAATTGTGCTAGGCACACATTTATACAGCTCACATAGCCAATGCAGGAGGAGGAGGAGGAAAGGGGGGCATTTATAAAAGCAACAATTTTACAAAACATAAAATATATACCGTATTTTTCGCTCCATAAGACGCACTTTTTTCCCCAAAAGGCGGGCAAAAATCTCTGTGCGTCTTATGGAGCGAATGTGTGAGAGCTGAGGCGGCGGGCTGACAGTGTGTGCAGGGGTGTGGAATTCCTATCGCCCAACACCCGGGACATGCAGTTTTCGGGCGAGTCGTTTTTTTGTACATTTAGCCATGCTCTGGACAAGCAGAGATAAATGTATAGTGTGGAGCCGCCGCCCGTTTTCATACAAGTGATCTGATTAGATCACTTGTATGAAAGGAGCAGCGACGATCCTGTCCGACCCCCCCGTCCGTTCTTTGTCTGCTCTGTGTGATCACTGAGACCGTGGTGCTGTAATCACAGCGCCACCTGTCTCAGCTGTCAGGAACTACACAAAACCCTACCCTCCCTAGGTGCATCTTATGGTCAGGTGCATCTCATGGAGCGAAAAATACAATATATGTACAGTAATGTGCTTTTGCCAACTTCAGGCCTCAAAGAATGTGAAGCCCAATTCATTTATATAAATGAAGGGAGGGGGAGCACCTGGAGGAAAAAGGAACAGTTGCATGTCTTGCTAAAGTAATGTGACTGGGCTCTATGCTCACAAAGTCTGCAATGTTGTACAGAGAACAATCCATATGACAACTTTGCCTGCATTTTATGGACGATTGTAAAAGGAAGGTGCACTGCAAAGTGTTGAGCAGGGAGTGGCCAGCTAAATATGCTCCCATTATAAATGGGCCCCTTAGTATTTATGAGGTCTTGTGCTACCTCCAACAATCGGGAACATGCTACCTTCAACAAAAAGGAAGATGCTACAGCTAAAGACATGAGCCAATGCCATTTCATTAGGATACCGCATTTACTTACCATTAGAACATCTATCAGAGTCGTACATTCCAGAACTCCTCCTTGTTCTCCGCCGAACTGATCCTAAAGTTTACAAAGCATTACAGGTAAGCATTAGAACATTACAGGTTTTTGTGTGATGTGTCTCTAAAAGGAAAAAAAAACTCTAATGCAACCTTAGTTCAGGCCAATGCTCTCTACACCACTCTGGATAAGCCAACATTTCAAACTGTTTTAATAAAGTGAAACTCCAGGCAAAGAGTGAATACACAGCTGAAACACACATACAGTATGTTTACTCTTACCTGTAAACAGTTTTGTTCAGCCACTCTTGTGATTTATGAGTTCCTGCCATGTTTAAGGACAAGACCTGCTGAACAGTAAAATATATCCTTTGGCAGGTAGAAAAGTTGCATATGTGTATTTCAATTGTATTTATCCATCTGGCTGGTGTTTTAATATAAAAAGAACACTGGGAAATTCCCTGACTAAAAGGACATTTATTAGATAACAAAAGAACTATACATAATAGGGATGAACCGATACTGATACTAGTATCAGTGCCGATAACAAGTATTTGGGCGAGTACTCGCCAAAATGCTCCCAATACCAGAACTTCCGGTATCAGGAAGCCAGGCGGCGAGTCATTACACGCCGCCCGGCTTCCTTATTGGCTGAGAAACCAGCTCCTTGCTCCCTTGTTGATGAGGGAGCATGGAGCTGGCTTCCCGGCCAATTAGGAAGCCAACGCAGTCGGCTTCCCAATTGGCCAGAAAGCTGGGCAAATGCTTCGTAGTCACCTGGTGATGAGGGAGCATGGAGACAACTTCCCGGCTAATGAGGAAGCTGGCCGGCGAGTCATTACACGCCGCCCGGCTTCCTTAAATGGGAATTCTGGTATGGGCGAGTACCGGAGAAAAAAATATCGGCATTCGCACTCGATACCGAAAAACCAGTATCAGTGCATCCCATAGCAACATTTTTACATAACTAGGCAAATGCAGGGGTTTTTAATTACATCATTCCAATGACCAAAGTACAAAAGCTCAGTCTGTATTGCAGTAAAATATTCTATACAGGTTGGTATTGTCATATAAAACATCCCAGTCTGAATCCCACATTGGACAGCATCAGCCATGGGTCTGTGTGAATTTCTCTGGGTGCTCAAATTTCCTCCAACAATCTAAAAACAAACCGGTAGGTTCATTTGCTTCCTCTTAAACTGTCTCCGTGTTTATGAATGTAGCAGTATCATCAGATTATAAGCTTCCAATTACCTTCCAACCCATTTGACAAAGAAGAATTGTCCGGCGTGTTATTCTTTGTGTGTTTGCCAGGTGTCTTGCCTTCACTATTTGGAGTCCTAGGAACTCCACAAGTCACATTAGACTGAAGCTGTGATTTTAAAGGAGGACGGCCTCGTCCTTTTGCCCTTTGCCTTTCTTCCTCTCTCTTTTCATCCTTCTCATTTTCATCTTTGTTCTAAAAGGGAGGGAAAAAAAAAAACAAATTGTAAAAAATAAGCAGTAAAAGGAACATTCAACTACATATATTACTATGGAGATACAAACCGAGGTCACAACTTACCCAGCTAAAAAAACATTCATTCACGCTTTACCCTAAAACTGCAGTTTAGTACATCAGGTCAATCTGTCCTTAATCAACTGGCTAAAAGCATCTTTCTGTTCTGAACACCTTAATCCAAACCTGTGATTTTGCAGGCTAGGGTTTCCAGTGCCGCCCATTATAGCGCATGTGCAGTTTTCTTTTTTATGCGCCAACTCCAACTAACATCACATTGAAATTATTATTCACTTATCTGCCGCTACGGAATTCCAGGAGAAGCATTAAAACAGACCTATGCAGGGCAAAGTGAAGGAGTCTCTTCAATGGGCATCGAACACTATACACCTTACCTGCGTTCCCTCACAGCTCCTCCACAGCCAGTGAGAATACCCAGAACAACTCTGTATGGGGAAATATATGATCTGCTACCATGTGAGTGCCTGAGTCTAGAGAGCCAATTGACCTAACCGCTTCCTGAAATCACCAACACAGCCAATATCAGTAACAACGGAGGCACAAGGAGCAAGAGGCGCAGGTAAGCTGAGCATATGGGAGGTCAGTGAATGTGGTTTGCAGAGACACTTTCACTTTGCCCTGCATAGACAAGGTGACGGCCTCTTGTGCAAACTGATAGTGTCTCTTAACGTACAGTGATTTAGATTTCAAGAAGGGTAGCTGCACAATACATAAGGGGACTGCAAGCTAAAACCTCTGATTGATTGGGCAGCAAGGGAACATATTTAAAAGATTCAGTAAACTGAAATCACACTAAACTGGGTGTAATCCTGAAGGAGATAACCATGTTTCTTCCACAGCATTAGCAGTTGAAAGAATATGAAATCTTAACCCTTACAGTGGAGCTACCCCAGCAATGCAGGGGTTAAATGCTCATTTTGTCTAGGGAGCTGAAATAAAGAAATATTCGATGGACCCAGTCCCTGCAGCCTCGCTCTCCCTCCTCTCAGGCGAAGGAATGTCCTGCGGCCTCCTCACTGCATTGGAAATGATGACTCGGGGAACCTTAGACTACCAGAGAGAAGGGGGAGTGAGGCTGCAAGGATTTATTTATCTTTAAATAAAATAAAATAAAGACTCACCAGAACACATCAGAAACGTGTTGCAAGTGCGTATAAATGCATATGTGGGAAAGCATACGGAACATGCGGATTATGGCGTGAACAAGCCTTTATCCAGTCAAACAAGGAACATATGCAAAATAATATTAATAATTACTTTTGGTCTTTTCTTTTGTTTTCTCTTTGATCCAGCTTTCTCTGAAGGCCAGATGATCCTGTCAGCTTTAACCCATTCATCATATCTGTAAAAGAAAAAAAAGAATTTGTATTTCAGCTGCTTAAGGAATAAGGATAATTTACAGATTATTCCATAAATCCCCATCTCACTATATCATAGTGCTATAGCATCTATTATAAATTCAGGTTTACAGAGTTTCCTCTTCACAAACTGTGTAAGCATGTCTAAAGTACTAAATTAACTTATTGATATGCAACTTTCACCAATGGCTTTTCACAAAAGGGCTGGTGTGCCATATTTTTCATAAAACCTGGGCCACAGGCAGCTGCGGGTTGTATGGTTGTGAAGGGACAGCATAATAGACTTAAAGTGACATTAAAGGATATCACCCCCCCATTTTCCCAATGCTAGTGTAAGGACTTACCTTAAATGATGCCTCTTGATCCGATCATCTTCTTTCCAGTAGTTTTAAAGGAGCCCATCCAGCGCTGGTGCCGGTGTCTGATCCAGCACTGACTGCTGTGTCCCACATAGTCTGTGCACTGCTGGGCTGCCTGCATTGACTTACCTTGTGTCTCTTCTCCCGGCCGGAGATCTGTACTGTGCATGCGCCCGCCCCATGATCCTTTGGAGCCGCCCAAGATTTTTCAGATCTTCAGACGGGCGCATGCGGTCGTAGACAGGTACGTTGTGAAATTTTTCTTAACTTTTTTTTTGTAATGTTTTTGCATAGATCTACTGCTTGCTAGCAATGGATCTATGCAAAACCACTGAAGGTTTAATTATCCTTTATGTTTTCCTGCAAGGTCCTTCACCCATTTTAAAAACCAGGGTGTTCTATTGGAACAAATGCACCCAAATTACTCATAGTCCTTGCCAGCTCTCCACACCTACCTACTGGCCAGGAAAAATGCTCATCGAGGGGAGGAAAGGAAAACTAGTGCACAGATCTAGAAGAAATACACAAAGGGCACCAAGAAAGAAGAAACATGCCTCTTATCCACCGTATCTTCTAACCTGGAGTTCACCTTTAAAAGGAGAACTATGAGGTGAGTGAAAATCAATTAGCCTCATAGTTCGAGCTGACGTGTGACAATGAAACTGTCACACGTCGGCTCAATAGATCGGGAAGTAAGGGATCTCACATATCGATCATGTCCCTGCAGAGAGCCGTGACTGTCGCTCACGGCTCCCTGCAAGGATTCCTCCCCCGATCCTCCAGCGCTGACTGGCGGAACGGACGGGGGAGGATACAGCTGGATCTCGACAGTAATGTTAGGATCCGTCCCGGCTGTGGCGGTCTCAGTATACCAAGAGCTGTAGCTCGCGGTATACTGAGCTTTGGGTGACGGGAGGACGCTAGTTTGTGTCCTCCCATGACCCTGGGGAGAACTATGGGGAAAAGCACTGACCCCATAGTTCTCCTTTAAGGCTAATAGGGCATTTCACTGGAAAACCATGTCTGAATTAAGGCACCCAAAAGTGATTCCACAGCCATGCCAACAGGGAACAGCAACAGGTTTACTTAAGGAATTTGATCACATGCACAATGCGGAGGATTGTGCATGTGATCAACTTGTGTTTTGCCAACGGAGACAGTCCTTACATTACCATTGTCAACATGTATACTGCAAAACTCTAACCTCCTCATGATGAAACCATATATTTATGGATTACTAATTTCAGACTCCATGCTTGTAAAGTAGCATGTCCATTATCTTGTTAATGGCAGTTTAGTTATTCCCAAATGCAATCTCCTGCTTACTCAGTTGGAGCCTGCATAAGGAGGAGGTGGTACCTCGAGCTCATAATTGCTCTGGAAGCATTCTGTCATTTACATTGGAAAAACCATTTTAGAAAAACTTTGTGCATTTTATTTTTTTAACAATGTTGTGGAGGGAAGAGTTAAACGCATACGTTTGCACAAAGGGGAAAAGAGGAGTTTGGCGATTTACTGAACACAGCCTAGTGATCTAAAAAAGGTAAAAGTTGAGGTTTGTATGAAGTAAAACCAATCTGATATTAATCATACTGGCACAACTTGTTGTTACGCTGGCCATTCACTAGTCAGGTTGGAGGCTGCTGACAGGGCCACCTACAGAGCAAATTTCAGCCGATGCATTAAAGGTAAAGTCCACTTTATGGATGACGCAGCTGGGTGGGCGGAGCCATGTACAGCTACGCCAATTTAAAAAAAAAACAGCAGCCAGCGGGGAGAAGAACCCCACAATTCAGGTAAGTGTGTGCATGTGGGGGTGGGTGGTGGATTGCAATGTGACCATGTTACATCCCGAATATGTATGCAACATAAAATATGGTCCAAAAATGTAAACGTAACTTTTAGGGCTAGTTCACACCAGCCACAGTGTGTTCCGGCCCGATTCTGGATCGCATTGCGGCCAGCTCACTTTGTTGTGGAGCGGTGCATTTAAGTGAATGGCACCGCAGCCATGCCCTCTGGCCACAATGCAATCGGCCGCGCTGGAACGCAAGGCACATCAAACTGAGCGGGCCGCAATGCGATCCAGTGCTTTCCAGACAGAATCAGGCTAAAATGCACTGTGGCTGGTAAGAACCATCCCTGAAAAACAAGCCAAAATCTATAGCAGCCCCTTTCCTAACAAGTAACCTGTTTCAACAAAGCATATTTCAAGGCATGGCTCACACTTAACACAGCCAGTGTTCTTCTACACGAGTTAAACGGCCACATCACAAAACATTTTCCGGTGAATTGATCAAAACTGGAGAAGACAAAATCTGGAGCAGTTGCCCAGGGCAAGCAATCAGCTTCTCTCTTCAGTTAAGAGTTGAAAATGAGAGAGGGAAGCCGAGCAGCGGAGGGATAAATTCCCTCCATTGTATTTTTTAAATGTATGGTTTCACACCATTAACAATTAGTATTCAGTATATGAATTAAACTTTCTTTTACAGCCCATTATTTCATTATTTTCTCCACATTTACTTTCAGAGCAAGCTATCCAGCAAAAGTGATCGGGACAAACAATAGAACTGCTGGGGTGTTACTAAAGTCAGCTTTCATTTATATGGCTTGATTCCTCTTAAACATACCTTACATTCCAGCCATAGTAGTGCACCAGGTATAACAACTCTCCTCCATCTATCTCTGTGTTCTTAATATTGGCTTCATAGATTTTCTGCGTTTTCCCACGCCCGTATTTTACTTTTACTTTCGTGCCTGCCAGGCGGTCTTTTTCTTCAGAATCCTCGTCATCTTCACTGTCTCCTTTATTTTCCATTTCATCTCTCCTGCACATTGAAAATATCATACTGTTATAGTGTATGTAACCCCCCCAACAATAATGTTCTCTTATTTTCTTCATTTTAGTCTAATAAAGATACCATTAGAAGCGTTTTGTTAAATCGGTTTGAAATGTCCGTTTATCTGATCCGAAGCTCAGGGCTGACACTACACATGCCATAAAAAAGCTGTGTGTTAGCACAGAACAGGGTTTGAGAGCTGAGTGCATTTCAAGGCAGATCACCAGATCCTTTCCTGTAATTGCAGTTTTAAAGGGCTAAAGTACTGGAAATGCGAATATAATGCAGATATGTTTTTTTTTGCCTTGACATTGATTTTCCAGCCTTTGCAACTCTCCTGTTTACCACAACTAGACACCAATATTTCACCTACAGTTCCATTGCTGATTTGCTTTGCTATGGCACGGTAAGTGACACAGAACTGATATATGCAAATGAAAAACTTTAATGTTGAGATTAATGTATTTGAAATCCCTTGTTTAATAATTACAGTGGTACCTCGGTTCACGAACTTAAAAGGAGAACTATGGGGTCAGGGCTTTTCCCCATAGTTCTCCTAAGGGTCACGGGAGAACACAAACTAGCGTCCTCCCGTGACCCAAAGCTCAGTATACCGCGAGCTACAGCCGGTACGGATCCCCACATTACTGTCTGGATCCACCCAGCTGAGGGATTGACAGTTGGCTCTGCCTATCCAGAGACAGAGCCAGCTGTGCACACCCCCCTTCCCCGTCCGTTTCGCCAGTGAGCGCTGGAAGATCGGACAGGGGGGAGGATCGGACAGGGGGGTGGGGGGGGGGATCCCTGCAGGGAGCCGTGAGTGGCAGTCACGGCTCTCTGCAGGGATAGATCGAGAAGTGAGCGAGCGACGGTATGTGTTCGCTCACTTCCCGATCTACTGAGCCGACCTATGACAGTTTCAATATCACAGGTCGGCTCAGATTATGAGGCTGAGTGAAAATCACTTGCCTCATAACTCTCCTTTAATTCGTTCCACGATTCTGGTCGCAAACCGAATTGGGCGTGAGCCGATCAGACCGCGATCCCGACTAAAGGAAGCCACGACCAGTGTCAGAGCAGGGAAGATGGCTGCGGTTGTGTTAGTCACCAGATGTGGAGTTCACGAACAGAAGCAAAATTTTGCTGAACTTCCTGTTCGCGAACCGAATTGTTCGCAAACAGAAGCGTTCGTGAACCGAGGTAACCACTTTATACAGTGGTAAGCTTTGTAATGAACCCTTTGCAAGGAGACCATACTGTATCCTGTGCTCACAAACCTAAGCTGGGTGTCTGATGTACAGCGCTCAGATGTAAATCTTCTAAAACGATTTAGAAAATAAAAGCAAGCATTTAACCCGCCTGTAACAGGCTATCCTTTCATGCATTTATATGAGGGACACTGCAGTAATCACGCTGGCATGACAAGACTTGCTATATTCACCAACAGGAACCCTCACTGTTGTGTGCTGTAGTTTCCTGTTGGCAGATGCTTTGGCAAGCACTCTCATTTCCCTGGACACACAGGAAAAGGCTGCAGAAATGAAAGAATCTTAGAAACATGTCCCTGATGTGAAGAAACACTTCAGATCCGTGGGCAGACCTCTGACTAGGAAGATGTTAGGAAAAGAGATTATTTATTTTCTAGCTATAGTGCTTTAAATATCAAGTAAACATTTTTTTTCAGCGGCCAGCTCACTTTGTTGTGGAGCGGTGCATTTAAGTGAATGGCACCGCAGCCATGCCCTCTGGCCACAATGCAATCGGCCGCGCTGGAACGCAAGGCACATCAAACTGAGCGGGCCGCAATGCGATCCAGTGCTTTCCAGACAGAATCAGGCTAAAATGCACTGTGGCTGGTAAGAACCATCCCTGAAAAACAAGCCAAAATCTATAGCAGCCCCTTTCCTAACAAGTAACCTGTTTCAACAAAGCATATTTCAAGGCATGGCTCACACTTAACACAGCCAGTGTTCTTCTACACGAGTTAAACGGCCACATCACAAAACATTTTCCGGTGAATTGATCAAAACTGGAGAAGACAAAATCTGGAGCAGTTGCCCAGGGCAAGCAATCAGCTTCTCTCTTCAGTTAAGAGTTGAAAATGAGAGAGGGAAGCCGAGCAGCGGAGGGATAAATTCCCTCCATTGTATTTTTTAAATGTATGGTTTCACACCATTAACAATTAGTATTCAGTATATGAATTAAACTTTCTTTTACAGCCCATTATTTCATTATTTTCTCCACATTTACTTTCAGAGCAAGCTATCCAGCAAAAGTGATCGGGACAAACAATAGAACTGCTGGGGTGTTACTAAAGTCAGCTTTCATTTATATGGCTTGATTCCTCTTAAACATACCTTACATTCCAGCCATAGTAGTGCACCAGGTATAACAACTCTCCTCCATCTATCTCTGTGTTCTTAATATTGGCTTCATAGATTTTCTGCGTTTTCCCACGCCCGTATTTTACTTTTACTTTCGTGCCTGCCAGGCGGTCTTTTTCTTCAGAATCCTCGTCATCTTCACTGTCTCCTTTATTTTCCATTTCATCTCTCCTGCACATTGAAAATATCATACTGTTATAGTGTATGTAACCCCCCCAACAATAATGTTCTCTTATTTTCTTCATTTTAGTCTAATAAAGATACCATTAGAAGCGTTTTGTTAAATCGGTTTGAAATGTCCGTTTATCTGATCCGAAGCTCAGGGCTGACACTACACATGCCATAAAAAAGCTGTGTGTTAGCACAGAACAGGGTTTGAGAGCTGAGTGCATTTCAAGGCAGATCACCAGATCCTTTCCTGTAATTGCAGTTTTAAAGGGCTAAAGTACTGGAAATGCGAATATAATGCAGATATGTTTTTTTTTGCCTTGACATTGATTTTCCAGCCTTTGCAACTCTCCTGTTTACCACAACTAGACACCAATATTTCACCTACAGTTCCATTGCTGATTTGCTTTGCTATGGCACGGTAAGTGACACAGAACTGATATATGCAAATGAAAAACTTTAATGTTGAGATTAATGTATTTGAAATCCCTTGTTTAATAATTACAGTGGTACCTCGGTTCACGAACTTAAAAGGAGAACTATGGGGTCAGGGCTTTTCCCCATAGTTCTCCTAAGGGTCACGGGAGAACACAAACTAGCGTCCTCCCGTGACCCAAAGCTCAGTATACCGCGAGCTACAGCCGGTACGGATCCCCACATTACTGTCTGGATCCACCCAGCTGAGGGATTGACAGTTGGCTCTGCCTATCCAGAGACAGAGCCAGCTGTGCACACCCCCCTTCCCCGTCCGTTTCGCCAGTGAGCGCTGGAGGATCGGACAGGGGAGGGGAGAATCCCTGCAGGGAGCTGTGAGTGACAGTCACTGCTCTATGCAGGGAGATGATCGAGAAGTGAGCGAGCGACGGTATGTGTTCGCTCACTTCCCGATCTATTGAGCCGACCTGTGACAGTTTCATTGTATCTCCTTTAATTCGTTCCACGATTCTGGTCGCAAACCGAATTGGTCGTGAGCCGATCAGACCGCGATCCCGACTAAAGGAAGCCACGACCAGTGTCAGAGCAGGGAAGATGGCTGCTGTTGTGTTCGTCACCAGATGTGGAGTTCACGAACAGAAGCAAAATTTTGCTGAACTTCCTGTTCGCGAACCGAATTGTTCGCAAACAGAAGCGTTCGTGAACCGAGGTAACCACTTTATACAGTGGTAAGCTTTGTAATGAACCCTTTGCAAGGAGACCATACTGTATCCTGTGCTCACAAACCTAAGCTGGGTGTCTGATGTACAGCGCTCAGATGTAAATCTTCTAAAACGATTTAGAAAATAAAAGCAAGCATTTAACCCGCCTGTAACAGGCTATCCTTTCATGCATTTATATGAGGGACACTGCAGTAATCACGCTGGCATGACAAGACTTGCTATATTCACCAACAGGAACCCTCACTGTTGTGTGCTGTAGTTTCCTGTTGGCAGATGCTTTGGCAAGCACTCTCATTTCCCTGGACACACAGGAAAAGGCTGCAGAAATGAAAGAATCTTAGAAACATGTCCCTGATGTGAAGAAACACTTCAGATCCGTGGGCAGACCTCTGACTAGGAAGATGTTAGGAAAAGAGATTATTTATTTTCTAGCTATAGTGCTTTATTTTGCCTTGACATTGATTTTCCAGCCTTTGCAACTCTCCTGTTTACCACAACTAGACACCAATATTTCACCTACAGTTCCATTGCTGATTTGCTTTGCTATGGCACGGTAAGTGACACAGAACTGATATATGCAAATGAAAAACTTTAATGTTGAGATTAATGTATTTGAAATCCCTTGTTTAATAATTACAGTGGTACCTCGGTTCACGAACTTAAAAGGAGAACTATGGGGTCAGGGCTTTTCCCCATAGTTCTCCTAAGGGTCACGGGAGAACACAAACTAGCGTCCTCCCGTGACCCAAAGCTCAGTATACCGCGAGCTACAGCCGGTACGGATCCCCACATTACTGTCTGGATCCACCCAGCTGAGGGATTGACAGTTGGCTCTGCCTATCCAGAGACAGAGCCAGCTGTGCACACCCCCCTTCCCCGTCCGTTTCGCCAGTGAGCGCTGGAAGATCGGACAGGGGGGTGGGGGGGGGGATCCCTGCAGGGAGCCGTGAGTGGCAGTCACGGCTCTCTGCAGGGATAGATCGAGAAGTGAGCGAGCGACGGTATGTGTTCGCTCACTTCCCGATCTACTGAGCCGACCTATGACAGTTTCAATATCACAGGTCGGCTCAGATTATGAGGCTGAGTGAAAATCACTTGCCTCATAACTCTCCTTTAATTCGTTCCACGATTCTGGTCGCAAACCGAATTGGTCGTGAGCCGATCAGACCGCGATCCCGACTAAAGGAAGCCACGACCAGTGTCAGAGCAGGGAAGATGGCTGCGGTTGTGTTCGTCACCAGATGTGGAGTTCACGAACAGAAGCAAAATTTTGCTGAACTTCCTGTTCGCGAACCGAATTGTTCGCAAACAGAAGCGTTCGTGAACCGAGGTAACCACTTTATACAGTGGTAAGCTTTGTAATGAACCCTTTGCAAGGAGACCATACTGTATCCTGTGCTCACAAACCTAAGCTGGGTGTCTGATGTACAGCGCTCAGATGTAAATCTTCTAAAACGATTTAGAAAATAAAAGCAAGCATTTAACCCGCCTGTAACAGGCTATCCTTTCATGCATTTATATGAGGGACACTGCAGTAATCACGCTGGCATGACAAGACTTGCTATATTCACCAACAGGAACCCTCACTGTTGTGTGCTGTAGTTTCCTGTTGGCAGATGCTTTGGCAAGCACTCTCATTTCCCTGGACACACAGGAAAAGGCTGCAGAAATGAAAGAATCTTAGAAACATGTCCCTGATGTGAAGAAACACTTCAGATCCGTGGGCAGACCTCTGACTAGGAAGATGTTAGGAAAAGAGATTATTTATTTTCTAGCTATAGTGCTTTAAATATCAAGTAAACATTTTTTTTCGTGG